AGGAAGAGTGAATGTGGGAAGGACGCAAAAAATCTGGACGGGAATGAAAAAAAATAAAGCCATCTAATTGAAAGGGAGGCTTCGCTCTCCTTCGCCGAAGGCCTGGGCGAAGAGCCAGCTCCTCAGGGCCCTTTGAAACCCCAGCAGGGTGGGGGCCATGCGGATCTCAGAGGGAACCTCATTCCAGAGGGCAGGTGCTGCAACGGGGAAGGCGCACTTCTGGGGTCCCGATACCTGGCACTGTTTAATCGAAGGAGCCCTGCAGGATCGAAACTGGCCAGGGATGTGCTATGAGAGACAGGTGGTCCCTCAAGTAACCAGGCCCTATGCCACGTAGAGCTTTACAGGTAACAACCAGCACCTTGGATCCCACTCAGAAGCAAATTAGCCACCAGTGCAGCTCACAAAGCAGAGGTGTTACACGAGCATACCAAGGCATGCCCATCCCTGCCTGTGCCACTGCATTCTGAACCAGCTGAAGCTACTGGGTGGTCTGCAAGGGCAGCTCCAAGTGCAGTGCAATGCAGTAGTCAAGTCATGCAGTGACCAGGGTGTTAAGTGACTGTCTGAAGGACCACCACCAATCGAGGAAAAGGCACAACTGGTGCAACAGATTAAGCTGTACAAAGTCCTTCCTGGCCACATCCGCCACCTGCTCATCAAGCAGGAGCTGTGGGTCCAGGAAGACCCCCAGATTGCACACCATCCTTGAGTGGAGACATGCAACCACATCGAAGGCCAGAGATAGAATATCCCCAGATCTGGGCAGCCCAAACACCACAGCCACTCTTGGTAGGATGGAGAGAGAGGCGGTTCCTCCGTGTCCAAACCCACCCAACCTCCAGGCACTGAGACAAAATTTGACAGCCTCACTTGGCCAGCCAGGGGTCAAAAAAAATAATTGAGTATCATCAGTGTACTGTAGATACTGAACCCCAAACTGGCAGAAGACCTCACCCAGCGGCTTCATGTGAGTGTTGAAAAGGAGGGGAGAAAGAGAATCGAGCCCTGCGGCATCCCACAGCCAACACAGGCTGGAACTAGCCCCAGAGAAAGGAAGGGAACCACCATAAAACCGTGCCCTCGACCCACAGAGCCATCTCAAAAGGATACCGTGGTCAAGGCATCGAAACCACTGGGAGACCAAACATAAAGATGGATGTACTGGTTTTATCATCTACAAGCCCGACCAGAACTGTCTCAGTACTAAATGCCGGCCTGAAACTTGACTGCAATGGGTCTAGGTCAGGGGTTCCTAAACCTTTTGCCATTGCATCTCCCTTTAGCGTAATCTTAATGTACATAACACCCCTAAAAACCCAAACACCAAAATGAACATAAATGAACAATGAAAACACTGTAATGAAGCTTTGGGAAAGGTGGATTGTAACAATGCAACTGAAGGTCCTTCGCACCTCCTCTGGACTCTGTCCAAGAGAGGTACACCTCAGTTTTGGAAATCCTGGACTTGTTTCGTCCAGGGTTCTCATCAGCTGCAGACCAGCCATATTCTCAACAACCTTCCCCAAAAAGGGTACAATGGAGACTGGTCGGTAGTTATCGAAGACCACTGGGTCCAAGGACAGCCTCTTAAGGAGGGGCACACCACCACCTCTTTCAGAGCAGAAGGCACCATCCCATCCATTAAAGAGGCTGACACCACAGCATGGACCCAACTGTGGGTCAGTGCGCTGGCCACTTTTATGACCCAGGAGGAGCCTGGATCCAGTAAATAGGCAACCTAGTTGACAGCATGGAAAGACCTGTTCACTTACTCAGGAGTCACTGACTCAAACTCATCCCAGATCACACCACCAGTGCGCGCTCCACGCACTTCACCCTGCCCTGCCCAGTCAGAGTCCAAGTTGGAGTGAGCCTGAGTGATTTTATCCACCAGAGAGTCTAAACAACCTTCACAGCAGCCCAGTAGATGTTTCAGGAGGCACTCCCTATCCAGGAGGGGCTGGGTAGCCCTAACAGGCCGCTGGATGGCTATCAGTGGACGTAATGAGGGTGGAGAAGTATTGACGTGTCACACTCTTTTTGCCACAAGGTAATCCCTCAGATGGGCTTTTACCCGCGTCCAGTCAGACTCGTTTCAAATCTGCCTCCAATGGCGCTCCAGGCACCTCTTCTGGCATTTCATCTCGCAGAGTTCCTTAGTAACCAAGAGGCACTGCAGGATCGGCACCGAAGGAGAGGCTGCATAGGAGCGATACAGTGTGAGGCCCCATCCATGTCCCCATTGCAAGCAGCAACTAGGGCCTTGGCCGAACTGCCCACCAGGTCCTCTGGGAAACCCCACTGGGTCCCTCAATTGCCTAGGGCAAGCTGATCAAACGAGCCCCATCTCCCTGCGGGGAGCAGCGATGGCAGTGAGTCGAAAGGCAACCAGAGAGTGCTCTGTCCATGGCAATGGGCTGACGTTAATGTGTTCCTAGGCCAGATCACATCTTAACTGCCCCAGGACAAAAGCCAGATCCAACACGTGGTCGCCGGCATGCGTCAGACTGTTGAGTTGGGAGACGTGCATGGCTGCCATGGGGGCTATGAGCTCCTGAGCTGCTCCGTTTTAACGGAGAACATTTTACAACTTTGTACAAAGCAGACGTTTTCTCCCCTTGGTATAATGCATCCTGTATTGTAAACATTGTGGAATGCGAGCTGCATTGGCCGCCAGTTTGCTTCCGGGGCCAATCCAAGGTGTTGGTTATCACCTTTAAAGCCTTTCATGACACAGGACCAAGTTATCTGAGGAGCCGTCCTGCCCGTTATATCTGCCCGCCCCACTTGGTCCGGCAGAAGGGGCATGTTGCAGACCCCACCAGTCGAGGAATTTTGACTGGCAGGGTCTGGGAAGAGGGCCTTTTCTGCCGTGGCCCCTGCCCTGTGGAACAGCGTGCCAGCTGAGGTGCGGGCTCCCCCCACTGTCCTGGCCTTCCGAAACGGTGTAAAAACATGTCTTTGGAGCCCTTGGGGTTCTCTGAGCTCGGTTCTTTTCTTGCAAACGTTTCATTACCCGGCCAGGTAACATCTTCGGTGCCTACCTAGCCGGGTAATGAAACGTTTGCAAGAAAAGAACCGAGCTCAGAGAACCCCAAGGG